TCTTGATAATATTTCTCCTCCCACTCTGCACTTTTTCTCAAAACAGTGGTAACATAAGTGTAGGCACCTCTCTCGTTGCAACAGAGAGGTCCGCTCCATGGCTTTCACCTTCTGGAGATTTCGCATTTGGGTTTCAGAAACTTCAAAACAGCGATATGTTTCAACTTGCTATATGGTATGATAAAATACCAGGTAATACCGTAGTATGGTATCCAAACGTTACAAATCCTATTTCACGGGATTCCAGGGTGGAGATTGATGCACAAAGTGGGCTGGTGCTTCGTGATCCTCAAGGCCGCCTTCTATGGAGTACTGACAATATTGTCGATGATGTTTCCCATGGTTTTATGAATGATACAGGAAATTTCGTTTTAGTGCGCAGTGATTCTGTTTGGATATGGGAAAGTTTCACAGAACCAAGTGATACAGTGCTGCCAACACAAATAATTGCGATTAATGGTATGCTTGTTTCGCGAAAGTCTGAAACGAATTTCACTCGAGGCAGATTTTATCTTAGCATGCTTAGCGGTGGGAATTTAGTGCTTAATACTCGAAGTGTGCCGACGAATTCGGATTTTGATGATGAGTATTACAACAGTCAAACTTCTGATCCTGCAAATGCATCGAATTCTGGTTATCAATTGGTCTTCAGTGAAAGGGGTTCGCTTTATGTATTGAGGAGAAATGGAGAACAAAATGCCCTAACGACGAAGCGCTCAATTCCGACGACTTCGGATCATTATTTTAGGGCGACTCTAGATTTTGATGGAGTTTTCAGACAATATTATTATCCAAAGAGTTTCAGTGGCGATCGAGGGTGGACTGTTGCTGAATATTGGCCACAAAACATATGTACAGAAATCGATGGAGATAAGGGCAGTGGGGCTTGTGGGTATAACAGTGTCTGCAGACTCGAAAATGGAAGGCCAATTTGCGAATGTCCTCAAGGTTATTTTCTCTCGGACCCAAGCAACTTGTTTAGTGATTGCAATCCCCCGTTTATTCCAATCTGTGGTGAAGATGGTCAGAGGGGTTCTGCAGAAGATGTA